ATTTGAATTTATTCCAAATCCAAATCCATACATTTTTAATTATCCAAATAATGAATTTAGCTCAAATGCAAATTCAAATCTAAATCCAAATCCAAATTCTATCTAAATATAGCATTAAGTTATTATGTTTTTTGGGAAACTCAGCATGCTGGTGATATTTACTGACTCCCTCTATGTAAAATTTTAAACTATGTTTAATTAATTTATAGCTCCAATAAATATTTTAATATCATTCAAAATATGCATTCTTTTCATATCTACTATTATTTAATATTACGCCCCACATGGAAAATATGAAAATGACTACCTCTTAATTTTTAATACTCGTTAAAGACAATTTTTAAAAATCTATATAATTACACTTTTAAAACCCAAAAGTTCTTTATATTTTTTCAACATATTGCTTCACAAAAATTCTCTATAATTTTAAAAATTTATAAATTATTGTTTGAAGAAATTTAAATTAATTAATTTAATTTTAATAATCTAAATTTTATTACAGTTAGCGTGAATAGTTTTTTATTTTATCTTCAAATTGAAAAGACAAATTGTAAATTCAACAAGACAAGCTTGCAAATTTAGAGGTAAAGTTGCAAATTTTTGAAAATTTTTAAATAATGACATGTTACTTTTTAAATTTAATTATTAAGATTTATGTTCTTTATTAAAATCAAGAAAGTGAGTAGCAAATTCAAGACGACAAAATTATAAATTTGAGAAATAAAGTTACAAATTCCTACAAGTGTTCAAATAAAGACATAATTCTTTTCAAATTTAATAATTAAGATTCATGTTCTCTATTAAAATTGAGAAAACGAAGTGCAAATTCAACAAGATGATTTGCAATTTCATCATCTTGAATTTGCAACTCGATTTCCTAACTGAGTTATTGAGTAAATTGACTTCGAAACTATTTGTCCAAGAGTGTCTAGGATCCTAAATTTATTTTTGATACAATATACTATTTTAACTTTTGAAAACGATGTAATGTTGCCTTTACCATTAATAATAGTTAACTTTGACTGTTAGTTAATTATAAAATAATAGAAAAGAACCTCAAAAAATTAAAGAAAAGTACTAAAAATTATAGAAAATGATCCAAAAATTATATATAAGAACCCATAAGTTAAAGCAAAGGATCAAGAAATTTTTGATACCCTTTTGTCATTTTTAGATCATTTTTTATTATTTTCTAGTTAATTAACAGTTAAAGTTAATTTCTATTGATAATAGAAGTAATATTTCACCATTCTCAAAAGTTAAAAAGAGATATTACATAAAAAATGAGTTTAGGGTCTTAGACCTTATTGACCTATAATTTAGGGATGAAATTGCTATTTAACCATACAAAATTCTATATGATTAAATTTTAAAAGTAACATGTGATTATTTAAACACTTACAAAATTTTGTAACTTAGCCTCCCAAAGTTACAATTTTGTATTGTTAAATTTTCAACTCATTTTTTCAATTTTAAAATTGAGAATAGATTACACTATATGAAAATATCAATGAAGGGTTACTTTCTATTTAAAATTTTTTTGAGACTTTACTTAAATAAAATGATTTTATTGGGTTTTAAATGTCATCCCCCAAATGATATTAAAGGATCAAAATATTAAATTAAACTTAAATACAGAACAAAAAAATTGGACAGTGAAAATAAGGACCAAACACCCTTAAGTGAATTGGTCTAAAAAAATAGTACTTACCTTCCATGATTCGTTGATTTTCAACCTTGAAAAGAAATTCTTTTAAGTGAGATTTGCTAATTTGTAAAAAATATATCATTACTTACAAATAGTTTTTCTTCACAAATGAACGAATCTTACTTTAAAATTTGTGTTTTAAGAGTTGCAAATAAATGCATGAAAGTATGAAACCACTTAAAATGACGATATGTTTAACAAGTCTTTTCCTCATGAATTAGCAAACTTGCAAATTCTTGTTTTTGATGGTGGCAAATCATAAAATGAAGTAGTAAACTACTCCTGAAACAAAAAATAATTGTATCAATCTAAACGATACAGAAAAGGTTTTGTTAATCTTATTTTAGATTTTCAAATCTTTTAATTTTTATTTAAATTTAATTCAAAATGGTGGTTCTTCAATGTCATTTCCCTAATTTATAATTAAGGATAGATTGAGAGAGTGTGTATAATAAATTTAAAATATGCGTATGGTAGCATTAAATGCAAACTGACCAATAGAAGACCAGGTAACATTCATTATTATAATATTATTGTTAGTAAAACAAAAAATATTATTGTTTCTTCAAAGTGGACATTAAATATATTTTGACCATAAAAAAGTGGACATTAAACATGTGGGACTTATATTTCACATGAAGGCATTGGCTTACTGGTTTTACTTTATTACTGTCTTGTTTTTTCATTTCAGTTTTATTTGTACTTGCATGCTGTGCTTGTTCATGTTCCAATGAAAGCTTTGTTAATTTGCCAAAAACAAACTATATGGGAACATTTTTTGCTATGGCTGATTTATGCAGGAACCTTTTTTTTTTTTTTTTTGGGCCAAAGATACGGGAACTTGAATGGGAGGTTTCAAAGAATAAATAAGTATTTATTGCATGTACTCTCTCAAGTTTTAATTATAGACTAAAATTTTTATATTTTCCTTGATTTTGAATATAGGGTAAACATATAGTAGTTAATTTTTTTTATTAACTTTAGCCTTCTTTAATTGCAAGGAATTGTTGGCATAATTTTAATTTTTATACAACAATTTATTATGGTTATTTATTTCAATGAAAAGCAAAATGAGAAATCATACTACTCCATTTTCAAATATAAGAAAAAAATAAACAGCTCACATAGTTTGAAAAAGTTAGTTAATTATAATAATTATATTTAAAATTAAAAAAATTTACTAATTAATAAAATAAATTTTTCTTATTAAAAATAAATATTAATTTTATGAGGGATAATTTTAAAAAAATGTGATAAATATTTCTTGAAATTTATAATTTTATTTATTTAGAAAAAAAAATGAGACATCTGACAGTTAGTGAATTGGCATAAAATGTATTTAATTAAATTTAGCAAAAATGTATTTAATTTTAATTAATAGGTTGATGATTAATTGCTAACAATTTATTTTAAATTTAATTCGTAATTATATGTTCACATTGACATAATTGAGCTTGAGTATTCGGCTATGAAACATTTTAGCAGTAATTTTTAATAAAATAATATTTTTATATCTATCAAATTAAAATTATACTAAACGAATTAATATTGGTTTGACATTATTTTTATTATGTTTTTTTTGTAAAGTTATACTTTTAGTCCACTAATTTTATTTAAGATTTCACCATAATTCGTTAGCTTTATTAGGGGCTTTTTAGTTCTTTAACGTTCAAAGCGTAGTAAAAAAATTCTTTTAAGTCTAATTTTGTTTATTTGAAATTGGAATTATTTATTTTTCAATTTAAAATTACTTCAAACCTAATATTATTAAATAAATAATGACGGCAATGAGTTAGGACTAGAGATGTTCAGCTTATATCCATCTTGATTGGCTCGATATCATTCTAATCATATTGGAACTGGTTTTGTTCCGACTCGAAAATGATTGGGACAAAACTTTAAGGGACGGGATAAAAAAAGAGTTTGAGACGGAACAAGATATAGGATTACCACGAGGACATCATGTCTCATCTTAAATATTATATATATTATTTTTTATTTAAAAAATATATATTAAATATATTAATTATATTATAATTTATACGCATGTTAATTATATCAATTATAATTTCGATACATTCAATTCTTATTTAAAACTAAAATTTTTTATATTAATAATTTTAATGATATAGAATAAATAGGGTGATATCTTCTTTATAACATATTAATTATATTAATATAATTTATTTTCATATCTATTTATTTAATAACTCTTATTTTTATCATATTTCTTGCTTTATTTTCTGAAGAGTAATTAGTTTAGTATATCTTAATTAAAGTAGAAGAACAATTATTTGATGTTGTACTTAACTGGCTCGTTATTGCTACTCTTATAGCCTAGAGATCACTTGTAATTATTATTATAATATGTAGTTGTGATTAATATAATTTAATAATTGACTTTAACTTATTGTGATTTATGTACTTGTATTGTTTAATTTTAAACTTAATAAATTATACGATTTAAAATTTTAATAAATGTTATTGTCTAGATCTTTCTCTGACATTGTCTAATTTATTGGGATGACGAGACGTCCCAATCTTGTCTTGGTCTCTTTTTGATTTCTAATGGAATGAGACGACTTTCGAGATAGAATAGGATACGAGATAAAAATTCAGTTTTAGTCATTTTTTCAGGATGGGACAAGGGATAGGAGTGTTTCGATCCTATCTCATCCCGTGAACACCCCTAGTTAGGATCATAAGATTAATATATTGATATTTGAGAATATTTTATCAATATGAAACAGTGTGACAAATTTGTTGTGATTAAACTTATAGCTATTTATATATATTTTTTATTTTGATATCCTAGATTTTTGACCAAAAATAATTTGGTCAGTAACTTGTGGGAACTTTTTAGGGACATACCTCTCACTGAAAATTTAATTGTTGTTTCATACCTTAAGTTTGAACTCAAAATTTTAAATTAAGTTAGACCAACTCTCTAACCAGTTGATCTAAGTATCTGGTAATTATATAACTATTTATATTTATTTCCTTCTGCTATCATTGTAAGATCTTAATTTATTATTGGCCAAAAAAAGATCTTAATTTATTAACTATTTTACATAAATTAAAGAAATTGGTTAAAAGTAGTTAATTCAGTGAAGAAAGAGTATTTTTAAAAATGAGTCATTAATATCTCTTTACTTTACAATTAAAAATGATGACAATATGCTTCATAAATAAGACAAGAGAGTTGGCAAAATAATAATAATAATAATAATAATAATAATAATAATAATAATACAAGAGAGAGGATTTATTTGTTTGCAATAATAAACATCTCCCTTAAACCAGTGTGTAAAAACACTTCAACGACATAAAAGGCCTTCCTCGAGAGATGTGTTCACTTAGGCCCGGGGTGGAACTTTATAACCTGAAATGGTTATTTTACACAATCAGAAATATAAATCCACGTCAACACTAATACTATTTATAACAATATATATAGTTTTTTTATTGAATTCTAAGGAACCGATTTTGTTCTTTTAATATTTTTCACATATAAAATATAAAAATTGTAACCTAGCAGCTTCTTTTAATTAAGTGCATCTTTTATTATTATTTTAATATTTTTCACAGGTTTCATCAATTTTGTAGCTAGAATTCTTTTTCTAAAATTTTTCACTTATTTTAATATGATTCAAATTTAAATACGAAAAAGATAAGTATTAGATGAATTTATGAAATTAACATAAAAAATAATACAAACATTTATTATATATACAAACACATAAAATATGTAATCATATAAATATACATTGTGAAAGTAACATTTCGAAAATTTATTTCATAATACTACTTAAAAGAACTAGAGAATTGATCAGGTTTAGTGCTTATTATTTAGTAATAATGTACAAATTAATATTTTATTATTTAAAAATTTAAATAATTCAAAATTAGATTTAAAGCAAACTTTTTTTTTCAAAATTTAATCTGTATCCGAAAAAAACACACAGAGAGAGAGAGAGAGAGAGAGAGAGAGCGCGCATACTTCCACATTGTAATCCAGCAGGAACAGTCACTCCACAAGTCCTAGCAACATTGATCACTTTCTCTGGGCTCAAAACTCTCTCAATCTCTTTAGTAAAAAGCTTACAGAGGCAGGGCAGGTCGGCAAGTTTCATCGCCGAGCAGCACTCCGGCGACGGAGGAGTCACCGGAGCTGATGGCATGACAGACTTGGAGCATATAGTTGCAATCTCAGAAAGAGCAGCTCCTTGGCAAAATTGTGCATTGACACCATGAAAGTTACAAAACATGTTAATCCCAATTACCACAACAAATAATTCCAAGGCCAAGAAGCGAGTGCTAATAATACCTCTAATTGCCATAATTAATCACTTTATGCTTATTCTGATTTGATTGCTATGTGAGGTGATGAAGGCTTTTTGTTTTTGGTGTGCACAAATGCTTTTGAGATTGTGAGCCGTTTAAATAGAGGTTGAGGATATGATGAGGAAGGGGAATTGAATGGTGTAGATTTAATGAATTTATTATTAATTATTCCATTTTAATTCTAATTTAATGTCGTTTAATATTAGAGAAATTAAATATGTGAATTGAATTTAATGTCAGACTTAATTAGGATATGATCAAAATAGATTAATTTAACTCTCTAAAATTGTCCATATGTTCATGGTCTTTATTACAACAAGATGAATACATTGATCTGGAAGTTATTTTTATACTTAATATGGGTGATTTATGATTATTTTTTCCATTTTAAAGTTGGGTAAAAAAAAAAGTATCCTCTAAACTATAGGTCTAGGAGAATTTAAGACTCTAAACTCATTTTCGGTACAATGTTTCCTTTCAATTTTTGAAAACGATACAATCTGGCTTTTAGCGTTAATAAAAGATAACTTTAACTACTACCTAACTATAAAATGGCCAAAAATGACTTCAAAATTTATAAAAATTGATAATAAAATTTTATCATTTTTTGTCATTTTTTGGGCCATTGTTTGTAATGTTTGAGTCATTTACTATATTTTTTTGACCTTTTACTGTAATTTTTGATGTTATTTTTTGATCAACTATCGATTAAAATTAATTTTTGTTAATGATAGGAGTCAAGTTATATTATTTTCAAAAATTAAAAAAAAATATTATACTAAAAATAAGTTTAGAATCTAATACACTTGTAGATCTATAATTTAAAAGTCATTTTTCTTATTTGACCTGGAATGATTTACCTTAAGGAAAAGGAAGAATGAGCGAATGACACAAACCACTAAAATAAATGAAATTTATTGAAGGACCATAAATTTGTGAAATGCAAAAAAAGATTGAGGTTAAAAAAACAGAAGTAAATAAAGGAAAATGTCATCCCAAAACTCAATTGCAAATCTTTAAAATTAAACATACTTGAAAATATCAAAAAATTAGTTATAAAAATATAGTATATCGTGAAATTTTTATAAATCATCGAAACTTACATGTAAATCTCGGAAACTTAATTGTAAAATCCAAAAAAGATCAGTTAAAATAAGTTGTGAATTGTGAATAATTTTTGCAGCCAAATTTCTGCAATTTTCTTTTCGAATTTGCAAAATGAGATTTCACAATTTACAAAACTCTTATGGTTCTCGATGTCAAATTTATGTCGGGTAAAATATGGCTGAGTAATTTTTTTTTTTTCTTTTGGGCAACAGAACCACTGGTATTGGCGGTATTGCATAAAAGCCGGAGCAAGCGAAACAAAACAGCGTCAAACATGGAAGGAAAAAAAAAACCGTAAATAACAAGAAGGCAAAAAGCTAAAAGTCAACCAATGGATGTTTGTCTAAGTGATCAAGACTTGAGAGAACTTAATCTAAGGTCTCATATTTGAATCTCAAGGTATGGAGCGGTGCAATTGAGCATGTAAAACATGCATTGCCAATGGTATCTGTGAGAACTCCCTTGAAGAAGGCTTACTAAACTAGAATTCAGATTAATTTAAAGTAAAGTGGGTGATCAATGAACCTAGCATATTCAAATGTTTCAGAATATAAGATGCGAAAGAAAAACAAACAAAAGAAAACTAAAACAAAAGTGAGTAAAAGGAGCAGCCACCTTCAGCCTAGATATCAAACATGTTGAAAGTATTGTCATCCATGTTTGAGCTACAAAGGTCCCCTTTAGTATCGAGGCTGGTTGTGGTAATTCAGACTAAATTGAATAGGCCAATTTAAATAAATTAAAAAAATTTTGAAGTCAAATTTAGACATTTAAAAGATTTTTTTAACTCTAGGATTAGCCCAAGTACTTGAATTATTTATTTATAAGCAATAAAATAATATTAAAATAAGATAAAAAGTGAAAATTTTAATTTTTTAAAATAAAAATTGAAATTAGCTAAAACATATTTAACAATTTAGATATTCAAATTAAACTATATGAGCTTTTTTCATACATTTGAGTATTCTATATTTGATTCAAATAAGTCTACCTCATTCGAATTATCAACTTTAGCTATGAGTGAGGTTAGGCAATAAAGGCCATCTCCTTAAACCTAAAAAATGTTCACTTATATCTCATATAATTAGTCATTATTTTTTTCATTAAGCATTAAAGTTAATTGTATATTTTCATTTAGAATTTCTTATTTTTTATATATTATATAACTGATCATTAAGAAAAGTGACAAAAAGATAGATAAGGAGTTTTCAACAATTTCATTCAAATCAAGGAATGATATAGTTAACTCATTTAATGTCTCAAAAAGAAAAAAAATTCCTAACTTTGTGCCTATTAAAATTAAATTACAATAGGGTAAAATTAAAAAATGATAATAAATGATTCATGTGTCCTATATTAAGGATCAATAAATTTTTTAAAAATATTTTATAATAAAAACTAAAAGGTTAAAGTATATTTTTATTCCTCTAACTTTATATAAATTTTTAATTTAGTCTTGTAATTTTATAAAGTATCTTTTTAATCATTTAACTCTAACATTGTTAGTTATTTTCTATATCAGACATTTTTATTTAAAAAAAATAAATTTAATATGTCTACATTTGATAATGTTTTGTTAATATTTAAAAATTTAATGTAACAATTTATTGGGATAAAATTAACAGTGTTTAAGCTAAAATACTAAAAAGACACTTTATAAAATTAAAGAATTAAAATAAAATGTTATGTAATATTAAAAAAAAATTAAATGTATACTTTAATCGAACCACAATAATGTAACAAGTCTCTTAAATAATTTGCTTGGAAAAAAAATAAAAGAAAAGAAAAAAAAAAGAAAAGGAAAAGGAAAAGATGATGGCATATCCACTCGCCCTAACAAGCTCACCTTACAGGCTTCAGCCGCCAAATAGTTAGCGTCATTACCTTTGCGTGACATAAAGCAAAGTGAAAACCTAGATTCCGATCCTTAAACATAGCGTCGCAATTCACGTTGAGAGAATATGTGAACTGTCTATAGCCCCACACACACTCAACCTCCGTTGTTTGGGGATGAGTTGCAAAAATAATTACATTATAAAAATATAAATATATTTGATTTAAATGCATTTATTTCAATTACTTAATTACCTACTACATATTTTCTTTATGTTTATCAATAACAGCTAGTAATAATGAATAAAACAGTTAAAAAGAAATTAAGACTTTATTAAATTCATAAAGTAACAACTATTTTGAAATAAACCAAAATTATAAAGTGGAAACTATTTTAATGGAGGAGATAGTTTTTATTTAATTATATTAAAATTAAGTAGAAATTAAAAAAATCTGAATATAAATTTCAAAAAAATTAACAACAAAATGTAGAAAAATGACATTAAAATATGAATAGTCTGTAATTCACTCAAAAAAAAAATTGATACAAGAGAAAATAAAAAAATAGAACAGCAAAGGGGAAAACTAAAAATCCTCTATGATTGAAGGAATCGAATCACTAGTCATTATGTAAAGACTCAAAGGGAGAGATAAGGCACATTTAGCTAAAAAATCAACTTCTATGTTAAATTCCCTTTCAATGCAAACCAAATCAACCTGCCAAGCTCTTTGAATTAGTTGTTGAATTTCTATAATAATCTCTTGATCCTTATGAAGTTCATAATTAGTAGCTCTTAACAGAGATAATGCTTCACGACAATCACTATGGAGTTTTACATGCTCGGTTTTGATATCCTAAGCTCGCTTAAGCCTTATATAGCATGACCATAGTTCCATCGTCAGATTATCACCCTTCTCTAATTGGAGCATGAAAGCTTTAATGGTATTTCCTTTAATATCCTTAACTAGTTCTCCACAACTCTTAGCATTCGTAGAAACTATAAAAGACCCGTCAACATAAATAAAAAGCTCATTAGTAGCCAAGGTGTTCATATCTGCTTGCATTGAGGTTTGAATGCCAGGAATAGATGTATTTGTAAACAAAGATTAGCCCCTCTTATGCGATTAAGGATAGCTCTCGTTTGTGTAATGACACTCTTCGTCGTCGATCTACAGCCCTTAAACACTCTCTCATTTCTATGTTTCCATATTGTCCAACACAATACAACAAACATATCACACCACTTGTATGTGTTAACTTCTACTTGTATCCTTAAATTCATCTTACACCATTCATGTAAGTCTACAACAAAGAAAACATGTCTTTGAGGAGGCTATATAAGTTTCATCCACACTTCTCTAGCTTCATGACATTGTCTCATCATATGCAAAGTGTGTTCTACACCATGATTGATTGCTCAAATGATGGTCAAAGTGAGATTTATTAGTAAGGATACAACCATGACTCATGAGCTAAAGGAAAGATCTACATCACTGAGGCATTTGAAGTTTCCATATATTAGTCCACATATGATCAGGGCGAGCATTACTGTCTGTCAATAACTCATAAGCAGATCTAATTGTAAACATACCAAGCTTCTCTAGTTTTCATCTAACCGTCAATAACTCATAAGCAGATCTAATTGTAAACATACCAAGCTTCTCTAGTTTTTATCTAACCGCCACTTCATTCACACGGTTAGTCATGAGTTCCACCCTAGCTTGGACTTTCTCCCAGTTCCTTCTTAAACCTCTCTAGAACATGAGATCTAGGATGAGTCCTATTCACTTGTGGTATTAACTCCCTCCCACATTTGTACTTACTCCTGACAACTCTAGCACATGGAGCCTCTTTGTTATATACAAGGCCTCATCCCACTTTCATCATAAAGGCTTTATTTTGAAGTTGTGTGTGTCTCAATCTAAGGCCACCATTTCTTTTTGATTTACACACTTCATTCCAAGCAACAAGATGTATCCTTTTTCTTTCGCCAAACCCCATAGAAAACTATGAAAACATTTATCAATGGAAAAAAACTTATATACTTTGCTTTGTATACTTAAGGTACTTGAATCCAATTAAATCAAAACATGTAGATCTTTTATAAATTATTTTTTTATAATAAATTCTTGTTATTGATTAAATTAATACATAAAGATCCACATGTTATGGTTTGATTTGATATAAGTATATTAAATATATAATGTTAAGTATATAAGTCTTGCATATAATATAATGGCTATATCGGACAATTTGATTAGATGAATTAGATAATGGCTGTACTTGGTCTTGCAGATATAGATATTAATGACGTATTTACTCCCAATTAATACTGTGATGATTAATTTTAAATTTGAATTGTAATTTCAGATGGACATGCACTTATTTGAATTTGAATATTAAGATGTGGAGAAGCTATAAAACTTTTAGTATTGATTTTCTAAATTTTATATGATATTTTTATACATCAAGTTACAAATATATTAAACTAATTATGATTAATTTGATCATATTTTTATTAAGTAGAGTCAAATAATTTGACTTTTTCATCATTTTTAAAAGAAATAAAAAACTCTATAGAGATGGAGGTTGATGATACGATTGGCTAAAACTTAAGTTCATATTAATAAATTGATATAAAGTTTTCTTTTTTTTAATATTTTTATTCATTTTATTATTTTTTTATAAATATAAAATCTTCTCTCTTTTTTAAAGAAAAACTTTACAGAAATTTACATATCTCAACTTCGTAGGATTTAAATTCAAAATTTAATTTTGACAGATTTGGTTACTTTTGAGAGAATCACATTCAAGGATCACTCAAGAAAATTATTCATAAATAAGAATTAACAACAAGTTTTATTTAAGAAAAAAAACAAGTTATGTTCTATATTAATCCTTATCTGCGAATAATTTTTTTGAGTGATCCATAACGTGATTCTCCCATTAATTTTTTCTATTTTAACTTTATGTTGTAAGTATTTTTCTATTAATGTTACTCTTTTTAGTTTTTGTTCAAAAATAAAAGAAAAATAAAAAAATAATGTAGGAGAAAATGGGAACAGCAACGAAACTGTCCTTAAGATTAAAGATTATAAATAGAGAGAGAGAGAGAGAGAGAGATAATTAAACACATAGCTTAAACGACAGAGCACAAAAGCATAACAAGAAGATGCATTATTTATTATGGATCCTTGAATATTGTCTCAGTTTAGGCCTTGGGTGGTGGAACCTTATAACCTGAAATTGTCATCAGACACCGTTAGAAATACATATGCATACTTCGACCAAAAATAAAAAAGAAATACACATACATGCATGCATACATATTTTGCAGTCAAAATTTAAAAAAGATCTCAATATTAATATCAATAAATATGAAAAATATGAAAAATAAAAAAAATAAAATATTATTTATAACAATGTAGCTTCTTTTGAACTCAGGGCAACAATTATTATTTTTATTTTTTGCCAGGACAGAAAAATTCATTGAGAAAGTAGACAAGTACAAAAAAGGAATTAAAACCCGAAAACACAAACCATACCCGACCCATACCACTGACTAAATCCATTACAGAAAGTCAACAAAGACAATCAAAAACAAAAATCGAAAAACTGAAAGTGAAGATACACCGCCGCGACCCGCCGCCGCAGAGGATCGACGATCACCACCGATAAGGAAACCTTGTCAAACAGAAACCCACGGCCCACGGCCAAAAAATATTTATTCTTTTATTGATAATTTTCCAAATATTTTATCAAGCTCATGTATTTTTTTTCCCTTTTCCAAATATTTATCAAGCTTCATGTATTTTTTTCCTTTTCCAAATATTTTAAAATGTTACAAGTATAGGAAAGATAATTATATTTAAATAATTTTCGATTATTATCCCTCACATGAAAAAAAATCTAATTATATGTTATAGATATATACAAAGAAATAAAACAAACTGTCATGTTATCTCTCATTATAATTTTAAAAATAAATTACGAGAATAATAATTGTAGAATTTATATCAAATGAAACTCAAAGAATAAAAAAAAAAGCCTAAATAACAAAGAGAGGTAATTAAATCTAGACATTATTTAGCGTTTTTCTTTTCAAAATTTGATCTTCTTTAACATTTTAAAAAATCAGAAATCATAATAAAATTAAATTTTAATAAATATTCACAAAGAGAGAGGGGACATACTTCCACATTGCATTCCAGCAGGAACATCCTTTCCACAAGTCCTAGCAACATATACCACTTTCTCCATGCTCACCATTTTCTCAACCTCCTTCGTAACAAGTTTGCAGAGGCAAGGGATGTCGGCGCCTTTCATTGCCGTGCAGCACGCCGGCGACGGATTAACCTTTGGCCCGGATGGCTGGACAAACTGAGAGCATTGGCTTATCAGATCAGCAATAGGGGTTCCTCCGCATTGTGCTGAGGCACAATAAAAGTTGCATAACATGATAATGCCAATCACCACACAAAATGTCAAGGCCAAGGAGCGAGAGTTAACACTAGCCATCTCACTATATGTATTTACGATAATGTCTCTCTTGAAATTGATACACTAAGTTTGGTTTGATTGCTATGAGGAAGGACTTGTTTGTGCGCTCATACTTTGAGCTTGGGAGACCTTAAATAGAGGAAGAGGATGGTGAGAGAAATTAAATGAATTTGGTTTCACAAATTGCTATAATTTATGGCTAATTAAATGTTCTTCAATACTATTTGTGAAATTAATTATATTAATTGAATTGAATGTTTGACTTAATGAGAATATGATGTAAATACATTTAATCTCCTATGTTGTTTGGGAAAAGTAACATACTAATGATATTTACTACAAATATGAATGCATACTCCCTTTTAATTAAATGGTAAAATTTTAAAACTATCCTATTTGGTCCTAAATATATAACAAGGATGTCGTAGTTAAACTTCCAAAGTTTTTTTTTTGTTTTGGAAAATTTATTTATTCATTAATAATTTTAACCTTTAGATATTAACATATTTAATGGATCAAATTATAAGAATTGGATTAAAACAACATTTTTGTCTCTGAACTATATATGAAAGGTCACACATGCCTCTAAATTTAATTATGGGTTAATTATGTTCCTCAACTTTAAAGATTCCTTTCGTCATCACCCTGATAATAGAAACGCTTAGCGTTCATTAGTCATCAGTGAGTCCCATTAATTTTTAATATTTTTATCAGGTTAAGGGTCATCTTGCCTTTCAACTTCTATCCAAAGGGTCATTTTTATCCCTTAACTTAAAAATATTTTACAGGATTAAGATGCAATTTTGCCCATAAACTATTTTTAGAAAAGTAATGTTGTCTCTAAACTGTTCATTGTAGCAATGTTGCTCCTAAGTTAATTAAATCGGAGCAATATTGTTCCTTCCGTTTAAACGTTTGTTATTATAGTTAGTGGAACCAACTTTTCATGAGTTAATATACAATTTTTTCCTTAAATTATTCTTAGAAGAGCAATATTGTCCTTATCGTTTAAAAATCATAAACGCTTGTTAACTATAATTAGTGGGACTCACTTTTCATTATCTCTCTCTAATTAACATCAAATCAAGTCAGAATTTCAACTAGACTATGGCATTCCAATTGCTGAATTAGTTTTTAGATAACCACTTTATGATGGTCTATATATAGGCTTTTTTGTTTATAATGCATATGAGAGTATATTTATTTTTTATAGTCAATTTTATACATTGATCTACTTAAGACAATACGAAGTGACTTTTTTACCTTGAAAATGTTGTTTATATGCTTTTTGTTGGATCAAGAGCTCCTTTTATAGTATTGTCAATGAGAATTTATACTTCAACCATTGTCATATTTATCATTGAAGAAAATTATTACAAAAATTGAGCTTCTTCTCAATGTATAATTCATGACTTGTTAAAATGTTGGTGGAGAATATCATGACATAGATAAATGCTTTCATTTGAATATTGAATGTTAGAAAAAATGTGAACGGAATGACACTAGTACAAAAAATATTTTTCATCATCTCTCTCTAGTTAATGGACGTTTATTATTTTTAAAAGGCGAGGGCAACATTACTCGTATTTAATTAGTTTAGAGGGGACATTGCTTCTTTGAGAATAGTTTAATGACAATGATTGAACCTTAGCTCTAGAAAAGTGGGTCCTATTAGTTATAGTTAATGGACATTTAAACAGCAATGGCAAAACATTGCTATGATAAGTAGTTTAATGGCAACATTGCTCCTCTGATAATAGTTTAAGGAAAAAATTACACTTTAACCCTATTTTATAATAAAAAATATTTAAAAATATAATGTGCAACCCATTTACGATCAACTGGTAGTGAGAAAATGACAGAGTGATAAGGGAGGGAATCTTTAAAATTAAGGGATAGAATTGACCTGTAGTTGAATTTAGGGGCATTTGTGACTTTTCATGTACAATTTAGGAATAAAGAAGACCCTTAACCCTTAAAAAAAAATAAACTACATGGATTTAATTCAAAATTGAGAAAACTATTAGGACTTGAGAATTAATTTACCCTAAATTTTATTATATTAATTTTTTTAATACTAAAAATATAGGATAAAAATAGTTGTTCATAATAATAAACTAATAAAAATATTTAAATTATATAATATAAAATAAAATCATATATGAATTACACACACACACACATACATATATATTATTTGTGAGAAATTCTTGCATGGGCTCATGGCATCACATCATCCATGATTTGTTCAATAAAAGTATGTCATGTTAGATAATTATAAATATAAATTAATTTTATTGTTAATGATTATAGAGAGAAAAAATACAATACATTAATATGCACTATATTTTAAAAAAGTCATTAAAAATAATAATATATAAAATTTTATTTGATTGAACTAGTGAAATATGGTATATTTTTATTTAATAACATATGAATGATATGATCACTACAAATAAAATGTATTTTTGTAGCCTTTGGTTAGTAGCAATTTCTAGGAACCACTGCCATGTGTAATTATTATAGTAGTTTCGAACAAAACTGCGACAATGTTGTCACGAATTGACCTGTGCGCCGTTTAGTGCAAAATATTATAGTGGTTTAAGCATAAAAAAACACTATGAAGTAAGGCGCCAAATCGCATGAAACATTGTGACCATGCTTGTCGTGGTTTCTGTGAGGTAGAACCGCAACTAACATGTCATGGAAACTAGGAAATTTGAATGCCTAGCAGTTTTACAAGAACCACAACCATTTCGTAAGGGGCAATTAATGGTGATCAAGGCCCAGAGCTTGAGACTTTGAAACGTATAGTGGTTTGACGACCAACTGCGACAATATTGGGAGCATTTTGGCCAAGAACTACTGCTATCCTCATCAGTATAAATCCTGCAGGCCTCTTAATCTTTCCACTCTTGGAAAATTTCATCTGAACTCTCCTTTATGAAATTTCATGTCTTAAATATTGGAGAGGGGTTACGCACACAAGCAAGGACATGATGGAAGAAAGGGTGTTTGATATGATAAACACGTATTAATTGTCATTTGCAAGATTTGGGAATAAAAACAAGTGTGAAAGGCCAACATGATACCACTTACAATTGAAAACATGATAAACAAAATGTAATAAGAAAAATAGAAATAGTTATACATTTTAAAATTTTATAATCACCTAGTAATCTTTTCAAATAACACAAAAATAATTTTTGTTACTACTCATACATATCTACAATCATAGTTGGATTATAGTTACCCAACAAAATTTATATAGAGAAAATCAACATAAATTCATCTAACATTTGGCTTTAGTTTATGCAACACAATATCATTATAAAATCATCCTTTCACATGCCATTCAAGTCAAAATATCATTTTCTCACCCTTATGCTCCATACAATTACAAACCAAAGCCAACATTCATAGATAGACCAATTAGTTAAACTCAACAAACAAGCCAACACATGGCCCAGTCATCATGCCTTTTTTAAACCATCCAACATTATCAAGTGTTATCAATACCTTAATAAATACAAAAATATTTCTCAACAATGCATATTTATAGTCATCCCAAAACATATAACGTGCGGATACTATTTAAAGAGGCACGATTATAACCATGAATTCATATGTTCAATAAGTAACAAAAGCCCTAACATTGATAATAATGCATTAGAAAAATAATAAATTCAAACTCAGAGAGAGGAAGTGGTTCCACACCACAAAGCCTCAGGGATTTCTCCAAATGCTACACACTTAGCTTTTCTCCTGAAAATTATTAACCATGTAATAAGACTGAAAAGTCTCAATAACTAATGCCAATTTATGATAATGTATGAAAATAGTTATATGTGCGTTTACTAAGTGAGGAAAAACAACATTATAATTCTAACATAAATACAAGAGATATTGAAATGCATGACAAACAACTATCTTTATTTCTCTCCTTTAACCTTGAGCAAAAGTCCTTACTCGGTGTTAAATCACCTAGCCAAAGGTAGACTACTTTGAGCTCTTGCAAGCTACCTATTGAGCCTCCAATAGAGGCGTATCACATGGTACAAAAATACAATAATAACAGGTCTCCCAACACCTCTCACAAAAATCAAATAATTACATATCAATATTTTACAATTACACAATATTACAATCTTTACAATTTTCTCATTTTCAACAATATTACAACATGATATCCCATTTGGCAAAAATACTTCAAAATACATATTCACATTTTCACAATTTTTCCAAAATAATTTCTCAATGACAATTCACAATTTTCTTAATAATTACACAATTAACATGAAGCAACACTAATCATAAATTAAAGCATGATTATCTTGTGGCTTTATCAATAAATTACCTTTTACAACTTATCTTTCACCACAATACTCACTAATAAAACAATCTACATATGGTATAGTATTATAACATATTAGTTTCAATTGTTGAAACCAATAAAACAACTTTAATTTTAAAGTTAGAGGACTTTCAATTTTATTATTTATACCATTTCTAAGGTTAGTATAACTAACCAAAATTCTAATATTCTCATAAAAAATCATAAACATTAACAAGCTATAATTAGCCTCTAATTTATTTTTTTAGTATCACCATTTCCCTATTTTTTATTTCCTAAATTCGCACAAAAATATCCCTTAAATAAAAAAATTTAGTCTTATGTCACAAAACATCATTCTAGCATCATTCTAGTTAGAGGACTTTCAATTTTCTCTAAATTTTATTTTCTTTAAAAAATTTAATTTACTACCACAAATAAATTTCTTCATCTCAATTACATTCCTATCATTCTATAACCTCATTTCACTCAATATAGGTATTAAACAACGATTCAAAATTCCAACATCTAAAATATCTACAAAAATCATTAATATTTACACTTAATCATAAACCTCAAAACCAATCTATTTAATCATTAATATAACCTCTATTAAACCAAAATAAATAATTAAATTTGAATAAACCACCATCATATTCATACATCACAATTTTCTCAATTAAAC